AGTAACATGAGGTCTAGGAACTCTTCTCATCAATTAGGGTATAAAACACAGAACAGAAAGATGATCTTTGCACCAAATAAAACACATTCTAAGGCTAAAAGAGAACAGACAAATAAATAAAGGGAGAACAAGGAAATAATAAAAGCATACTCATCAAAAGATATAAGCCGAGGCCTCATCATAAAACCCTAACAGCTACTGTCAGGATTTTTGCATACATCATGGGGAAGGAGTGCTTTAAGGAAGGATCTAAAAGAAAACAGTGGAAAGGTTTTGTAAATGTGTTTGGGTAATTCCAAGTATAAGGAGCAGCATGAGAGCAAGGACAAAACCACCCAATGACAATCAAATAAAAAGACTGTGAAAACTGGCATCTCCGTTTTGTTAATTGGTGAAGGACAAGGCAAGTGAGGAAGCTTTGCTGTGCAGGGACCTGCAAGAGTCAATATGTAGCTGGGGGGGAACAGGGGTGGCAGAGAGTGAGGGGTAGTGTCTCTTGATGGCAGCCCAAGGTAGCACTGGATGTGCTGCAGTCATGCTGCAGACACCTGATGGAGGAGTGGGGGTGGCACCAGAACATGTATCACAGCTGAAGAACACAGGGCTGTAGAAACTGAAGCACAAGCTAATGCCAATTAAAAAAAAAATTACATGAGTTCCAAATAACATGTTCTTGGGCTCACTACTGTGCTATGAATTTCTGTTTGCAACTTGTAGCTGCAGTTTGGGGGGTGCTTTGTAAGGAGGGTCTCCAGCCTCACATCCTAGAGACTTGCATAATCTAGCCTGTGTGACCTGATGAGATCTATGCCCAGAATCCTTATGCCTGTGCTGAAAAGGAACACTGGAGCTAACTGTAAGTGGAATAAGTTTAATTGTAGCAGCACAGAACTCAGCATGGGTCATTTACTTTGGGAAGAAAGTCTGCTTTGAGCAGTTTAACACTCATAGGGTGCTTCAAAGTATTGTCTTCCTCTGCAGTAGGCGTAGAGTTTGTTTTACACGTGGAAGTCTCTCTTTCAGTTGTTTCAGTGAACTTGTCAGAAATGAGGAGGAGAAGTTTTGAGTAACTCAATGAGCTCTTCATAACCTGATACTGAAGAAGCCTTCTCCAGCATTCCTTACACACTGCACTTCCCTTTGATTCTGCAGAGTATTCAGTTATTGGAAGAGTTGTCTCCCAGGCAAAGAAGGAGGGAGTGTTACCATCCAAATTTCCAGTGGCAGCTTATGCTGCTCCACACCTTCCATTAAAGCAGCATTTCATCCCACTGGAAATCTGTTCTGTGAGCTTCATGAGAGGTATTTCAAAAAAGAAAAAGCTCACCATGATTTTAAGGACAGGTCCCCATACTGTGGGTGCATCTGCTTTTCAACTGTCACATCCAAACATGTCCCAGTGGATAATCTCCTTGAGAAGGCAGGGGAAGCTGCAGGTTTCCCAGATCCCACCCTCTGTATGTCACAATCTGATGTTGGTGCTGTTTGTTTCCCAGGGATCTTGGCAGAAACAAAAAGGCCCAGCAAACACTGTGGGAAGAAACTCCAGCAGACTCTGGAGGACTTGTAGACTTCAGCTTCCAGCCCTTTGCTGCAGTGGCACCAGACTGCCAGCAGCATCAGTAACAAATGCCAGGAACATCAGGGTGATCAGGCTGTGATTTACTGGGACACCTCATGAAAAAAGGTTCTTAAACCTGAAGAAATATTAACAGCCAAGGGAGGCCAAGCTCTTTAAGGCCTTTCATCCCATGCAGACTTTTCATCTCATGGACTTGGACTCCACTGGCAAGGGGGGCAACACTCTTCATATTCTGAATTTTTACGTTCTCAAAGCACCGTGAATCCTTTGAAAATCCCACTGTAGTTTTCAGTGAGTACCCCATGTAAATTCTAAACAATACAATAAACCAAAACTTGCCCAGGATTAAGTTGTGCTTACAAGACTACAAATGGTATTTTTAGCACAAGCAGAGTTCCTCTTTGCTGTGCTCTGAAACATAAAGACAATTCTGCTCATTAGGTTGCTTAGCCCAGCAATCAAAAGATCCAAACCTACCACAGGATGAAGCTGTAAATGCCTTGGTGACTTCCCTGCTGGAGATTTCCCCCCAGCACGTGTGATGGGAGTGGGTAGCAAACCAGTTCCAGGCTCCAGCAGGGAGCAGGCAGTGTCAGTGGTGCAGGGCCCAGCCCACCTGAGTGCTGGGGCAGCCACACAGCCCTGCTCTGCTCTCCTGCAGAGCTGAGCCACAGGTTCCCCTTCTTCTGCACCTTCCTGCCCACAGAACAGGCTTTTCTCAGGGATCCTTCCCAAAACACGACAAGTAGTCAGGGAGGGTCTTTACTCCAGCTGTAGAAAGGGCATTTTAAGCAGTGGATTCTGCATCCTCCATCCTCTCATCCTACAGGAGCCCCCAAGATCACTTTTTACTCATAAACACCAACCAGCTCCAGCAGCAGAGGAGCTAATTAAGTGTGGGCTCTGAATTGATGTCCTCTCACAGGCTTTCTTGCAGCTCAAACAGACCATTTATCTCCTCAGGGATTAGTCTATTGTACCTTATAATCTTTGCCTTCACTGGGGGCAGATCTATGGTCACTTTTCTCTGTCTCACTGATTTTTTAAATTAAATTTTCAGGTGTATAATTCCTTTGAGAACCTGCACCTCCATCCAACTTGATTGATATTTGTTTTAAAGCTTTAAAAATCATTCCAAAAGGTAGAGTTCTTCATGGGCAGATAAAATAGGCACAGCCTCACTTCTTCAGGAAACCAAGCCCTTAGAAAAATCAGTGGTTAAATACTTGACAATCTGTTCAACATAGGGATTAGAGTTTATTTATTTCCTTTGAAGCATAATGTAAAATATTTTCTTCAAATCAATGTGCCATTTCATCTAATTTGATAAGCTGGAGAAGGGACTGTGTACCTGAAAGCTGATCCTCTTTTTTAGCTATATGAGCTGGTCTATTAGGCTACTTTATTTCTCCCTTCAGAACTTGCTTCTTGTCTAATTAGAGACCCTGGTGCACTTTCATTAAATCTCTCAAGGAGTATTTCTCCCTGAGGACGTCCTGAGGCTGGTGAACTAGATTCAGATTTATAATAGGTACATGATGAGCTTAAATTAGTGGGAGAATTCAATATATAACATATGCATGCAAATGTTTATAAATGTATTGATCTGAAATGCTACATTTTTTAACGTTGAATTGTTGGGTTTGGAAAAACAATGTTCCCATTGTCTTAGACTTTTAAAAATCTTTTTTTTCTGGGACAAAAGATGGTATTTTATATGAAGCCTAAACCATCAGACCAGGCAATGGCAGGTCTAAATACCTGCTCTCCTTTTAGAAATGTAGCCTCAACATGACTCAGGCTTTAGCCTGTGGTGGTTACTGTCGTGGGCTGTATTAATAACAGTTCCTGTTGAGAAACCTTCCTTTGTTTACTATTTCAGCAAATTCATCTGATGATTTTTTTGCCTTTGAATAATATATGCATGAGACAACAGGGTATGTCTGGGTGCATTTCTTGCTGCTTCATCCTTCCATAACTTGAAATTCCAGCCTGTTTATTAGTAAGAAGTAAATGGAAATTTCTAAGGTGGATTACTTGGCATCCCCAGCCTGGAGCAGGAGCAAGGCTTACAGGCCGACCCTTGCCAAGCTCTTCCAGAGGGTGGAACTGGGAAGTTTATTTTGTCAAGAGACTGTTGAGGCACAGAGTGATTAAATTCTTTGCCAGGGGTAAAAGATTGTAAGGAAAAAAACCCAACAATCCAGCTACCTAAGCAAGCATCCTAACCACTGGAGCATCCTACCTCTGCAGACGTTGTTCAAGAAGGCAGAAATAACTGGGCTGGATTTTCTGGGACTGTTTAACCAGTAATTAGATGGTCTCTTTTCTCTTGCTTTTAAAAAAGCAGGACCTGCTCACTTTCCAGCCTTAGTATTTAAACTGTTCTCATGGTTGACTCAACTCAATTAGTCTTCTAGTTAGGAATCCTGTGTTGCTTTAATGACATTCAGAATACTAATTCACTCCTTCAGGAATCAGGAAACCTGAAGAGAAATTTAATTTGGTTTTTTTTTCCCCCCACAAACTGTAGTAACAGGATTAGCCATTTTGTGCCACTTATGTCAAATTTAATCAAACCTAAATTTATCAGTAACAAAATGTCAGGTGGCTTCAATACAGGCAGGACAGGATCCATCAAGATCTATAAAAAAACAACCAAGGAGCCAATCCCTCCCAATTCCCCCCTCCTTTGTCCCCCACCCCAAAGACAACAGGGACCAGTGCTTCACCAGACTGATCCCACTGTTGGCTAAGGACAGCAATCCAGTGGTGCAGGCACAAAGGAATGGGCTCATGGAAACCTATGACAAAAGGACACGAGACCAGGACCTCTCAAACAGCATGAGATCTCAGTTTGTGGCTTGAAGAGAAGCAGATCCTGTTTGTTAAAATCTGTTAGAAGTAATCAGTTCTGGAATGCAATAATTTCCAACAAGTCTTTCAGGTTCATAGGTGCTCTTGTACATAGAGTTTAAGCTCTAAAACAACTGTATTTTTACATTAAAAATACACCCACAGAGCATTTATTATGAAACAATATGTTATCTCTTGCTTTTCTTGCTGAAAAAATGACTTGGCTATTTTATGTCTCAACAAAATAACTTGAGTTAAGGATCTGAAGCACTGCTTACCTATTTTGTTTCCACTTGCTAAAATTCAGAAGCTCATCTCCACCTTTTTCCTCATTCAGTAGCCACACTTCTCAGCTGAATAACCCCGAGAATACAATCACTAATAACATGCTGCAGAGAAGTATCTCAAAAGCATGTGCAGGTATAACAGTGTAATTTGATATTTTCAAAGTTCTTTATAAACATTCACTTAAAAGAGTTCTCCAGAATCCAGTGTTTTCAGCTTCAGCCTGTCCAACAAAACACGTTGAATGAAGTTCACCAGAAATTGATGATAGAAATTCTTAAGGTGTTTTGATTTCCTTAAAGACTGTCAAAGTCTCCTTTGATCTCCTGTACTGCTTGGTAAATGCAGTTAGTGTCCGGAGAGCTCCTGACAAACCTTCTCCTGTGACAGCACAGCAGGGCTGCACGTACCAGTTTCTGTTGCTGCAGTACTTCTTCATGTGGAACCTCCTGGTTATCTCTTCAGCGTTCAAAGCTCCGGGCACATCCTGCTTGTTGGCCAGCACCACCACGGGTATGCTTTTCATACCTTCATTCTTTAAAACGAGTTCAAATTCTTTCTTTGACTCTTCCAGACGTTGCTTGTCAGAGCTGTCCACCACATAGAGCAGCCCGTCCGCGTCCTCCAGGAAGCGGCACCAGACCTGCCTCATCTTCTCCTGCCCTCCAACATCCCAAACCGTCAGTGTGAAATCCTTCTCTGTTTCAATCATATCCACGTTGAAGCCAATGGTTGGCATTGTCAGAAAAGCGTCGTTGTACCGGAACTTGTACAGCAGTGTAGATTTCCCTGCAGAATCAAGTCCTAACATCAGTATGTTAGCTTGCTTGACCTTGGAGTGCTTGGTGCTCTGGAGGCCCATCTGTGCCACAGTGTTTTCCCTCAGCCTTCTAAGCTGGGATTCACCGTCCTCCGTGAAGCCAGTTGTCTTTCCTCCTCCGTGAGATGAAGCACAAAGAGTCAGGAAGAGGAGGGGGAAGCAGCAGCTTTGTGCTATGAGAAGTCAGGAAAAGCTCTGTACAAATAGATGCTGGCTTTTATCAGCTGGATAATATGCAAACAGCATTTATGAAGGTGTAAGTTCAGTGCCAAGCCTGTGGGTGGAACGATTCTGCATAACGTACCAATTGGTCACAAGCACAAAGGTTACAGTCTTGGAACATGTTTGAACAATGAACCGAACTTCCATAACCAGTGAAGAACTTCGTACAACTGTGTGTACTGAACTAGCAGCAGCCAGGGTGTACTCCTTGATCCCCAGGCCCAGGGAACCTCCAGCTGTCTGCCCTGCTTTGGTGTGTGCCCAGATATAAATCCCTTCCCTGCTGCTTCCACACCCATTGTGGAAAGAAATTCAATATAAACACAGGCAGCGAGCAGAGGAAATCCTAAGGTTTGTCCACATATATCAGTCCACAAAACTACAAGGTACCTGATTTATTGGTGTGTCTTGCCTCCCAGCAACAAATTAATCTCAAGAGGTTTCTAATGTGAGTCTAGATGGTCACACGGATGCAAGCAAACCATGAGCAAACTCCAATTAAAAACGTGCTCTGCTCCAACAGGACCCTCCTCCTGCTCACTCCTGCATGAAGCTGGTGATGCTGTCAGAGCTGTAAACTCACCGAGTTGTTTGTATGGACACGCTCAACTGCACTCTGCAGGGTGGAGAATAAATACAGATCTTTTGATCTGGTCATTACTGAGATCAGCTACCTGAAATTAAAAATTCCTCTTAGCTTCATTATGCTCCAATCTCTTGTTGCTCACTGGTCTGCAATCAAGGTTTCCTTCAGGGAAGGAACAAGAAGGGAGGAAATAACAGTCTTGAGCAAAACATCACTTTTGGCCAACATTCTAAATAGTGGAATAACAAATTATGGGATAGAAAATGCAGCCTAATACCTGAATCTCCATTGTTTTGTCAGCAGACCATGCTGGGCTGGTCCGATGCACACCAGCTACGGCAAGACTTGCCCTTATACCCAGACACACCAGTAGTGGCTACTACCATTTGTCTTTGCTTCAGAAAGCACATAATCAGCAAACAGATGTAAAGGTCTTCTGGCCGAATGAGCAGCTGACTGATCAGGAAATCACTTTGCTAATTACGACACTGGTTGTTCAGCTGTTACTCATGTTGCGTAAAACAAACCCCAGTCTCGACAGACAAGTTATAATCTGGTTTCTCCTGAAGCTCAAAGGGTTATAGCAGAATTAATTGGGGGCAACAAAAGATGACAGTGACAAACTGCTGTACATTTTTCATATTTAATAACATGTATAGATTATGTGTAAGGATTTTCCAGGAGCAGGTCATGATGTATTAAACCAGGCAACAAAGTGTTTGCATTTCTTTATAAATAATGTACATGAAGGAATCAGAAGATGGAGAGACAGGAGACTATGCAAAACACCCCGTTAACACAGTCAAATGAATCACAATTCCTTGCAAAATAGCTGTGCCATTTCCTTGAAATATGGTTATCTTGAGCAAGGGCAAAACCTCCCATCTGCCTGGGCTGTGACAGAGTGGCTGGATGGTCGGAGTCCCTGGGTCGTGCTGTGATTTAAAGATGACTCCATCCTGTTTGCTCCAACTCTATTCAGTATTTATGGCCTCAACTGTTATTTTATGACATCAGACGATCACTTTCAAGGAATAATACAGCAAAGTCTGATGCTTTAGAGACCAATTACATTTATTTCCAGGCCAGGGCAGCTAGCTCCTGGAGACTCCATGTCTTTAACTGTACCCGAGGTGAAACCTCAGCTTGGGTTCAGGGCAAGATTTGGTGATGCAGAACCACTTCAGTAACCACCTCCCAGGTTAACTTGGAGTTGCCAGACCAGGATGAGCTGGGAACAGAGCCGTGCCCAGCTGCACAGGGCCCAGCAGGCTCTGAATCTGCATTTGCACCGAAAGAAAGGGGGAGAAACCTACCCTTGGCTTGTCCAAAGGTGTTATTTGCTCTGCCGGGGTGAGGCTGTCTGTCTTGCTTGTGTAGGCTTTGCCTGTGTGCTCAGCTTGAAAAACCCAGAGCAATAAACCAAAGCCAGGACAGCCGATTTACCCATCAGCTCATCGGAACTCAAACTTTGCACAGTAAACCTTCTGTAAAACGCTGTAGCTTCCCGAGCTGTTCCCAGCAGGATATTCCACCGAGGCCACGTGCTTTTGTAAGGTTAGTAAGTGAGGCAAGGCTGGGGGGAGGAGACCACGACGCATTCCAGTAGCTGGAGCAAGTTCCACTTGAAACCACCCCGTCTCTTCTGTGTAACCTCCCAGCTACCTGTGCTCTGCTTTTTAGCAGCAGGAACCGGCCCGGCCCCAGCCCAGGGCCCTGTGGCAGGGGTGGCAGCCCTCATCCCACCCCCCCGGCGGCG